TTAAGTTATAACTGTTCATTACTGTATAATATCTGTTCATACAACTGAGGAATGGTTGACATCTCTGAAGAAGATAGCTCACTGGCTGAAAATATACCTCTAATACATATATATCACATAAAGCATAATCATATTAGACATGTCACTGTCTCAGGCTGAAGATGAGCGTTTTTCCTATTCACATCTGAGGTCTCAAAACCAGTTTCAGTGGGTGGGAGAAATAATAAAAGTGTGGATTCATAAGTGCCACTGAAGTTCACCTGAGGCCTTTTAAGTAAAACAAACGCCATCGACTTCTCTCCACCTGCTTCTCAGTCAAATAGCCTTCGGAAAGTGCACTTCTGCCGAGTAACCTTGCAAAGCGCACTTGAGTCGTCTCTAGTTTCATTGATAAAGCCTAAGAGAAGGGTTTCCCTAACCTACATTCTCTCGTTCCTTCTCCACTTTCCTCCCCTGCCGGCCTATTTCTGGTGCTACCGTTTCCTGTTTGGAAGAAAGAAAGCAAGCGAGAATAAAAGAGAGCAAGAAAGGAAAGAAGGAGAGGAAAGAAGCAGAGAAAAAGGAAGCGCTTTTCTTGTTTAATCTCCCGGTAGAAACGGGAGAGCTGTCATTAGGTCGGCGAGCGGTTTTGGGGGGGCGGAAACTCCAGCTAGACACTTGTGAAGTGCACTCCACTCGTATTTGAAATGCAGACATGAGGAAGTACCACTTTAAGTTTATCAATATTCGTTAATTATCATTATCAACATTCCATAAGGTCTTATTAATTAACATACAGGTTTCATACATGAGTTTTTCTGTACATGACTTTTAGTTATAGAGAGTTCGGTCTCGGGCGGGTTTACTGTGCGCGCACACAGGAAGAAGAAAAACAAACAAACCCTAAAACAAAAAGAGAAAAAATATGGCTGTCCATCTGAAACAGACCCAGTTCGGCTACGTGTGCGTCCAACAGGAAATGCCCGTGAAGAAAGAGGAAGAGGCGTGGCTACTTGGTAAGAGCCTCCCCCTGAGCTGAGGGTCCTGTGGGATGGAGGGCGAGTCTGCCGAGGGCTCAGGTCCTGATCAGACCCGGCCGGTGAGCCACCAACGCCAAACTGACAACACCACTGAAAGCGGCATGCTCGCCAGGCTGACTGCACAGGGGAAACCCTCGGGAAACCCAGGGGGAGACGAGAAACAACAGTCCCGGGAAGTAGGGGGGAAGGTTGAGGTTGTAGTTGGGGGTCAGAGTGACTGCATAGACAGAATAGTAGGTTAAAGGAAGGGAGGGAGGAAGGAAGGGAGGGAGGGAGGGAGGGAGGGAGGAAGGCAAGGAGGGGCTAAGCAGGTTGCTGCAGGCGCTGAGGGAGGCTCTACGTCAGTGCAGATGTGCATGTGTGCGTGCATGTGTTTTGCGTGTGCATGTCGTTTGAGGGAGAAGGAGATAGGACAGGATAGGAGTTGAGTTTGATCCTCCTGAGCCAATTCCAGGTCCGTCAAGGCGAGGCCGCCGAGGACCCCGGCGCTGATGCCCCATGTGGAAGTGGACGCGGTGAGACATTAGTGAAGCAGAGCGGGACTCTGGTCAGAAGACAGCTTGACCCCCGTCAGACACAGCCAGAAACTCCCTGCGCCGCCCGACAGCTCCTGGACAGGAGGAGAGAATCAACAACTGGTCAGCGAGGACGGGCACTGTAACGCGCATAGGCAAACAAACTCCCTGATGAAGGCAAGACAGCACGAAACATCTGGGGAATGAAGCATCTTCCAATGAGGGCAAACTAATGGAATTATTACTAATAATATATATATTTAATAGTGTCTCCACTGGAGAACATATTGGTATAAGGCATGAATAACAACATCTTGAAGGAATCCTTCAGATCGATGTGCATTAGCCTCAACTCACGCAGCGAGGTGTGATTTTTGCACTCTGAAAGTGAAGAAGTGTAAAAACCTGAGCTGACACCTCGGCTTGTCAGACTGTTTGTTACCTTTTAAGTTCCGCGAAAGGGGGACCTTAAATGACACAAACAAACCAGGCATGTCGGCAGTTATTCCTGTGCGTTGGCACAGAATGAACCTTCAACATTTGGTAATACAAGTGCATTCGCCCTGATTGTGTTGGTTGCTCTCGTTAAAATGATACTTATTCCACAACTTAATTTTCTAAATGAAATCACAGAGCCTTGTTTATATTCTTTGAAGTGATACCTTAGTAATTAAACTGTTGAGATATCCTCCCTGTAGCATCTGGTTGCAGTTAGGGTACAAAATGTAGGTGATTTCCGCTGGAAGTTTTAAATAAATTTGACACATGACAGATTCGTACAGGGATGAAAATCACCTTTGGGTGTCCGCAGTTATTACAAATCACTGCACATCCCCAGGATATGGCCATGTGCAAATAGGGACTTAGCCTACTTTTGTGCCAGATGGGTCTGCTTTGCCAGAAAGTGAAATGTTCACCAGAAAATTAATAAAATATCAGGAATATCAGTGCTCTGAAGCCACTCATCTGGCACGCAAAGTAGCTCAACCAAGGAAATCCAGTAAGTATACTGTTCCCAGTCTTTAGCAGACGACTGGTATTTGCCTTTAAAGTCTATAAGTGTGAGGTAATATCAGCTCAGCGCAGTGTTTACCTGTGAAGCAGTGGAAGGAGGTGGTGATGAGAAGGTGTTGGTGATGAGGAGGATGGAGGAGATGATAGTGGTGGAATAGCAACAGGGACTCAGAAGAGAGGAAGTAAGCAAGGAGAGGCACTGACATCAGCCTGCTTCACCTTTGAGAGAGAGAGAGAGACAGAGAGAGAGAGAGAGAGAGAGAGAGAGAGAGGAAAGAGAAGGAAGAGAAGCAGAGAGCGGGAAGACAGAAAAAGCAAGACAAGAGGAGGAAACAGGACAAACAGCGGGGAACAAGAGCACAGGGAAAAGCAATGCGTAAAATGCCACGGCGGGAAATCGGGCAGATGCAGTTTAATAGCACGGCCACAGGGGGGCAGCAGAGATGAGGAAGTCACACTCACAAAGCTGCGGGTTGCAGTCAGGCGGCTGCGGCGCGAGGTCACTACTGTGCCGCTCAGGCTGCGTCCAATTCGCCTCAGATTTTCCCCGTCATCAGGCTCCACCCCAAAACGCAGATCCCGCAACATCATTGGCTGCAGAGGGAGAAAAGTCTGTCAGATAATGGGAAATGGGTCCAAATGATGCCCAGTGACCATGTGAGGGGATTTCTGTTTGAAAGATTACGTAGATGTTACCTTGTTGAGGTAGGTGGGGGTACTGGTGCAGTCCGCCCCGTACACACTCCTCTCCATGTCTGCGTTGGGGGTCTTGGAGCGAGCCTGCCCTCCCACCCTGGATATGAGCCTCTCTGATGGGCTGCAGCCTGAACACACACACAGCAGGTTTGACAACATCATTCATATATTCAATATGAATTCTGCTCCAACCCTTCACTGAAACTATATATCACACTTTTTGAATAATCTGTTCTGTGGTTGCCTCATTTTAGCATATTAAAAAATTCTGCGTGTCTTGTGCATCAATTTATAAACATTTTCCTGTAATTTATCTGTGGAAACTTTGGATTTTGGCTGGAATTTAATATAAAGTTCTGTGAGTTAGTAAAGTAATGTGACAGCACAAGTGCAGCGGTGCTCTGCAAAAATACACTGAAATGTCGAACATCCATATAAAAAACCCCGACCCATAAGTTTCCCGAATTAGCTGCAACAACCTGTCCTAACCTAACCCCATACTACATACTAATTATAAACAGCAGATGTAATATAGTGTTTTATACTGAAAGGAAATGGTGCAATACTCCAGAATACAGCACACTCACAAGTCTTTAGTGTGTATACTGACGTATATGAAGTATCATTTTGTCACTTTTACAGTGCAAACACACAGCACACATTTACAACCTGCTTAGAAATAGTGTGTACAGTATAGAACTGGGACGAAGCTTTTAATTGGTTTCCAATAATAAAGACCACTGAGCGTCCACAAAACATGGTTTTACGTGTGTATCTTTGTACATTTATAACCTCGATTCAAGCAGAATCCAAATGTAATAATAGACATATTGTGCATTATGTGAATTTCTGTTTTTAGAGTTAACAGCAAACTTTACTATACAGTAGCACAGGACTGCAACTGATAATATTCATATCTAATGATCCACCTCATTGTTCATGTATGTGGTCATAATAACTTTCAATCAATCAACAGTTAGCTAGTTTAAGGCTGTATTATAGTAGCTCTTGGCTTTGTGTGTGTGTGCGTGTGTGTGTGTGTGTACCTGTCCTCCCAGCCTGCAGACTGGCCTGGTAAAGGGAGTCAAGCTCAGACAGCTCAGCCTCTTCGCGGTCACAGCAGGGATCACTGTGTTGCCCTGGGGCAAGCTGGGAGCTGTAGTGCCCTGGAGAAGACTGGCAACTGTAGCTGTAGTTCTGGCTGGACGTCTGTGGCCTGATGGGAACACAGCAGTCGGGGGGCGTGCTGTAAGGCGTCACCACGGCGTCGGGGCGGTCCAAACTCCAGGAGGACCAATGACGTGTGCTGCTGTCACAAGCGGCCCCGTGCCTCGGCCAGTGCTGAGTGGCGCCAGTGGGGGAATGGGGCCGGGGAGGCTGCCAGAGAGGCGTGAGAGGTTTCCTAGGCCCAGAGGCTTCCACAGGGGAAGACGAGGGAGGAGTAGAGGGCAGAGGGGGAGGGTGCGCGTGTGTGGGTTCAAGGTGTGTGGAGTGTGCGGTGTGCGTGGTGTGTGTATCCCAGAGACGCAGAGGAAGCGAGGGCAGAGAGATGGCTAAGTGCTTCCCCAGAGGTCTGACACTCACCCCCCCTGCCTGCAGCAACTCACACAGCCTCACCCCCGTCCCCTCCCTCCCATCCTCACCTTCCTCCCCTCTCCTCCCCACGCATCCGCCCACATCCTCCTCTTCCCCTCGGCTGGAAGGGGCGCAAGGGTGAGCGATGCTGAGGGTGAGCGGGGGTCGAGGGGGAGCGGGCCGATAGGGTGGAGGGGGCGGGTCCAGGCCCAGAGCAGCGTCCTGGTTGGGCGTTGCCTGGTCCTCTTCCTCCTCCTGATTGGGCGTCAGCAGTACTTGGACCGGGCCAGGCTGTTCACTGGAGGAGAGAGAGGAGAGGGAGGGTGTCAGTCAGCCAGCAGCACGAAAAAAAAAAAGCTCTGACGTCAGGTGAGTTACTGCATAGAGGGAAGGTCACAACAGCATACCAGGATAAACAAGCAGACACACACACACACACACACGCACACACACGCGCACACACACACACACACACACACTACAAACACACAATGATGCAGCCTTGTGCAAGCATCGCATTGTGCATGGGATTTCACAGCCATGCTGTTTATGAGTCAGGCACAAGCTGAGCTCCGCTGACTGACAGATCACAAACTCCACTCTCTGATCTGAACATATGCAGCTCAAACAACCAAACATTCCAGTTTAATCTGATTTTCAAAACAACAATCTACCCTCTGCTGCACCGAGCGCTGGTGCAGTATATCAACACTGAAAATAAATGTGGCTGCTACAGTATGGGGCAATTCAGTCTCACCGGGCCACTATATTACTTTATTGATTTACATACATTGATATGTGGAGGATATGATATATGTTGAACATTAGTGCATCCTCTCTGTGGAGACTCCGTACACAGACTGCACTCTATCAGTGTGTAGTAAACTAGTGTGTGTGTTGGTATGTGCCAACAGCAAGTCTGTAAATTTGTGTGCGTCTATTTGGATGTAAGTGCGCGAAGACCTGTACGTGTCTACGTGAGAGCCAGCCCCCATCCCCCACATTAACTCTCCCGTCTCTTTTCAGCCTTAGTAATTACCCAGCAGGCTTTGCAGCAGCGAGCTATAAATCAGAGGCTTGTGTTGATCAATAGAGGAGAGGAGGAAGGTAATAAAAGAGGCTCAGCGCTGGAGCTTTACCTCCTCCTCCTCCTCCTCTTCCTTCCCTTCAGTCCTGCTGTTATCAGTTTGGATTTACAGTTTGTTCATTTCGAACAAATTTTGCTTCAGTTCTGATGAAACCGAGACTACACCCAACATTAACACCACTCAGTTAGCACCTCCAATCAGCTGGCTCCAAATGCAGCACCAAGACTCCTTACAGGATCTAATAGGGGGAATGTTTTAAATTAGATTTTAAGCTTTAATGACGACCTTTAAGGCATGAATGGGATTAGCTCCTGACCATATTTCTAACTTGTTAACTCCATATGAGCCTGAGTTTAACCTGAGATACTCAGAGGTCTTTGTAGTCACTAAGAACCAGAGGAGACCAGACCTTTGCAATCAAGAATAGAATTTAAAACCATACTTTTTTAAATTAACTTTTTTTTTTTTTTAAACTGTTTTTATTCTGTATCTCTTGTTTTTATTCATTTTCTATATCACTAATCAATGCATTTCTTTATTATTTGTTTGATTAATTGTTGCCAAGACAAAGAAACAAATCCTCAAAACTGAGAAACTAGAACTTGTTTGCATGAATGACAACTTAAACAATCAATCAATTAATTTTCTGATGATCAATTAACCAATTAATCAACTCCACTATCAGTGAGCCTTTTGTTCTAAAGCCTGTTGGGTGCTTGGAGTCTAGTTATTGTCATTATTTAATGACACTAAATGTAAAATACTGTATTATCTCTTATTCTACATGTGCAGCCTCACTCTTTTTAAATATCAAATTGGACAGTTTTTCACTCAGCACAAACTCCACTGCAGAAACTCACACACAAAAAAAACACTAACACATCAGGAGGGAAACAGACTGACTTACTGTAACACACAAACACAGCGGCAAAGAGCAGAAAACAAACCACAGCGCAGGATCTGTGACTGCAATCGCACGGCAGCATACAGGGCAGAAACACAGTGACGGACTGCAGCTTTACAGTGCACAGAGGGACAGATCAGCGGCGCACAAAGAGCAGAGGGAAGCCTTGGCAGCACACAGCTACAAAGAGCAGCACAACAACAATGAAGGGGAAGCAGTGAAGCACAGAAAAGCAGAGAGCAACTCGGCCTCTCTCTTTTTATTCTCGATGGCGACACAGAGCCCAGCAAAGCAGGTTTTTACTGCACTGCAACAAACACACATACACAAAGGGGGATAAGAAGTTACTGTATATAGTCAAGTGTGTGTGTTTGAGAAAACACACACACATACACAATCAGACACACACACACACACACATACAGCAGGATGTGAGAGTGCAGTGCTAGGGGGTTACAAAAACAGGGGGATTCTGGGATTTTGGACAGCCAGAGCTGCAGACGCACACATGAAGGTGTTGAGGTGTTTTTAGACGGCCAGCACCCAGAGGACACACACACAGAGGGGTCCTGAGGTCAGCTTGAGCTGAGGACACACACAAAGTGGAGGGGGGAGGAAGGGGGTCTGAGGTGATACTGAGACAGGCACCATTGCGGACACATAAAGGGGGACAGTGGTGGTACCTGTGAGGCCCCTGTGGACGGGCGCTTCCTGTCTCCCGTTCCATTTCCTGTTCCTGCCTGCGTTTGATTGGACCCCCAGTGCTCCTCATGCACGCAGCTACAGCCAATCCGCTATGAGCGTTAGCCTCATGCAGGGGTCTGAGCACAGCTGAAGATGTTAACAACAGAGCAGGAGATAAAAAGGAGAAAAGACAGAAAGATATAATGACAGAGTGGCAGAGAAGGAAAGAGTGAGGGAACAGAAAAGGAAAGGAAACAGCAAAGAAGAATACGCGAAGGAACGAGAGTAAAAGATTAAGACAGAGACAAAATATGGAGGATGAAAGGACAGGTGAGACAAAAGGAGACAGAGAAAAGAGAAGCAGAGCAGAAGGAGTGGTTATGAGGGGGCTGGCATGCATTACGCTCCTCTTACTGTAAGTCAATGTGTGTGTATTTTACACATGTACAGAGTTGCAAAGTGGGAAGATTTATCTCGGGTGTCCTCTTTTATTTTCTGCATTGACAATGTCAGGTTACTTAACTTCTTTCAGATAAACAAAATATTAGCAACTATGCTAAAAATATGATTTTTTGATTATAAATAAGTCAAATATGAAAGCATGTGTACATAAAAACGTTATAAGGAAAGTCAACTACGACTCCCAAGGAGCATTACACCAAGAAACAAAGCTTACAATTCAATTGTGTGTGCTGCTCTAAATGAAAAAAATCAGTTCAAGTTCTGGGTCAATTTTAGATAAATGTATGGCATGGTGTTTTGTTTAAAATTACATCAAAAGAGCACTCCAGATTTGCTACAGCTCAGAGGCTCATGGGTATTGTAGTATATTGGCCTTCCACTATACCAAACTAAACTAAAACAGATAAATATATAAAAATCTAAAGATGAAATAGCACATTTATTCTCTTAGAAATTAAAGGTTGAAGTCATTAGTGATAAAAATGCATCTTTCCTCCAGTTAATACACTAATACTTAAATTGGTTTGGTATGACCATTAGCTTGTGTTGACAAATGTTAGCAAACTCAATATTGCTGTATAACAGACATTGCTGAGTCAATTCTCTTCTCTACTTGTGCCACTGTGCCATTGCAGTACTGTACGCTTAACCAGCATTATCCTGCCATTTCCACTTGTGGAAACAATGGCAACAAAGACTGTTGTTCAGTTTCCGAGGAAACGAGCATCATAGGAAGACTTTAAAATGGGGTAAAATACCTCCAGACCCAACATCTCTTCCCACTTCGCAACTCTACTGTAAATGCATCAATATGTAAATTTGTACTGTGGTTAGTGAGTCAAAAAGTTAACATTAGATAAGTGAGGAGCAAAGTCGAGGCTACGTTCATTAAGCTACAGACACCAGACGGGGGGGAAAACAAGGGAAAGATCAAAAGATTTGTTTTCGGAGGAAGGAAGCTTTCTTTATTGCGTAGCCTTGTGAACGCACCCTGAATGTTAGTTTGTTATAATAAAGATGCGGAGAAGGACAACAAAAGAGCAGCCATCTCCCATCTTGGCTTGATTTTGCATACTTCACATGGCTAGAGACAGAAGAAAGGAGGGCTGATGGCAGCTCTGTTGTTGTTGTTGTTGGCTGTAACGTCCTCTAAAACACTGAGGCAGATTGTCTGGAGTCTGCCTGAAACCATTGATACGGATGTGGGAACCCAAATTCTGTTATGTAATCGCACTGATAGTGATGCCATCTGTTCGTTCGCAAGGCGTCCTTTCACTTCATCAAGGTTGAGTGTGCTCGCAGGGATGTGTGTGTCTCTGCGTGTGTGTCAGGTACATGAGACTGAACACACTGAAGCACACACAGTAGGACAGACAGGACACAACATAATAATCCCTGATATAGATTTAGTTAGTGCTGAGCTGGAGGGGAAAACCTGCACACCTGCAGTTCATACATGGCTCTGTCTCTCTCTCTCTCTCACACACACACACACACACACATTTTCTGATTTCAGAAACACACACACAGAAAATTAAAATTTGTGGATGCATGGACCAAATATGCATGAAAATACACATAGACACATAGAGTTGTTCAGATACCCATACTAGTATACGAAATGCTTCCGATACTGCCTAAAATACAGACTCGGTTATCGGCGAGTACGCAAGTCTATGCACCAATCCAATACCAGCTAATTTATTGATAAACTCTATAGTTTCACACCCGGATAAAACGTCACTTTTACCTGAAATGAATTCTTCCTCACCGCTCTGTGATGCCTTGCCACTGGCAACTATTGTTTTAGAGCGGCAAAAAATAAATAATTTCTGGTAAATAGTGGAACATTAGTCACTAGCACAACATGTTCTACTCTGGAAAGTCCAAACAGTAAAAAGGCAACGTGTAGAGTATACAAAGCTTTAATTTGGAGTGGCGCGGGTTCAGACAGCTAATGTAGGAATTGTTATTTATCCCTAGAGTTTTTTTTATTTTCTTATGACTGACAGTCAAATTAGATAATAAAAGAGAGATTCTACAGTATTCATGCATCTGTTCATATTTTACAGAGGGTTGTAAAAAAGGGTTGCTGGGCCATGCCATACAACGACAGCAATTATACCACATTCATCAGTTAGTAGTATACAGCTGTTAAAAAATAAAAAATAAAAATAACGCAATGTTATCGGATCAGTCCTCGGTAACGGCCGTTCAGGTATCGGAATCGGCATCGGGAAAGGAAAAATGGTATCGGAACATCTCTACACACATGAACAGAAATATGGATAAACATTTTGGGAGCACACCAGAAATGTCTGTCAGATTAAGTCACAAGTTCTTTGTCCAAGTCAGCTCACTTGTTTGCAAATTGCAAGTCAAGACGCACAAATCTCAGGTGTCTGAACGCTGACTGTTAATCTATTCGTAGTTGTTGAAAGTTCCTTTCAATGCACTTGTAATTATACAGTGTATTTAATATAAGTAAGTGAACTCTCACACCAATTAGACTCATTGTGGCACCAGAGGAAAACTCAACACGATCATCAAAGTCATTGGGATCTATCATCTGGGGACCATAAATGTCTGTAAAAAATTTCTGGGCAATCCATCCAATAGTTTTTGAGATATTTCAGTCTGGATCAATGTGGTGAATCAACACACCAACATTGCCATCCACAGAAAATGTGGATTAAAAAAGAATAATAAAAGATTTGATACAAAGGCCAAGATATCCCAACTTTTTGTCCCTAGTCAAGTTTCATAAACATTGTGTCCTACACTTCCCATAAAGCACCTCTGTACATCTTTTGTCAGAGCCTGGCTTCCTGGTATAGTTTTTTGAAACTCCATGCCTCCAGTTCAGTTGGTGTAAGGTGAATAATTGCACTAGAAAATGACAAAGCTCCTCCAGAGCCACAGCAGACATTACAGTTTCAGCATTCCCTGTGACGAGAGCAAATAGATTTTAAGGTAAAATTGGTGGGGTGCTCCTTTAAATATGACTTGAGTCACAGTCGCACGTCTGTAGCTCTGAAACAAACACAATCTCACACACACACATGAAGATACAGCATATATAACAGATACATATGTGACTATTTATATGTATGTAAATGAATAAACATTAACACAGAAGCATACTCAAACACACATACTGTGTATAAGGAAAAAAACATAGAAGAGCACACACACAATCAGTCTTTTTGAGAATTAAGAAACACACGCACTAAACTCTCTCGAGTTTGGCAGGGACATCAGAGCTCTGAGCTTGGACTGGGATTTTGATTTTAAAATGGGAATCACAGAGTTTCCCCACTTATCTGGAACACAGACACACACACACGCTTATTCTGACATAAAACACTCATGGATGACACACAAAAACCCAGTATATACAGTCTGAGTTAAAATAGACAAATAAAAAGTACCGACGGAGGGAGACAGATGGAGAGACAGACGAACAGATGGGAACGAGGACAAAGAGGAGGTCAGACAGAAGCACGGACATACAAGTCACTGTCACTGCTAAACTAGACAACAGGTGATAGTGTGACCTTAAAGCTGCACCGGGCAAGATTTTAACATAAAAATACACTTAATCACGAAATGACGCAAGAGCTAAGAAAAAAAATAAATAAATCAAAGCCTCACATCTCTCCAATTGAAATTCCATTGATTTGCTTTGGTTTAAGGGAAAATTGAGATTGAAATCCAAAATTATCAAACAAGGTTGTATCAAATAACGATGTTAGCCCTGTGCAGCTTTAAATGCATTGACACTTATCAAAGGGTCAGTTCACACAAATTTTCACAAGAAAACATATACTTTCCCTTTTCACTTGCGGTATCTAGCTGTGCAGATAGTGAAGTTTGAAGTAATTTGGATAAAAGAAATAGTCCTTCACAGCTGTGAAGATCATAAATGAAATTCAACTCACTTTCATTGGAGTAGAGACAGAAATCTAAGAGACATGTATCTTAAAACTTGGGCAAACAAAACCAAAACTATCCTCATGGCTAGATACCACTGGAGAGGTGATGAGAAAATATGTTTTTAATAATTTCGGTGAACCAACTCTAAAACTTTTGCTCCTCCCAAAAACATTTATACTCCCATACATCTCTTCCTTCTCCTCCTCTACCCGCTCCTACCCTCTGTTTTTCTTTTCATCCTTCTTTCATCCGTACCCTGATGTTGGAGCTGGTCCAGGTCCATGAATTTGCTGGGTTTAGGGTTGAATCCCATGGCTGCCTCCCGCTCGGCCTCCCTCCGTTTCTGCTGCTCCTGCTGGCGGGCTCTCCTCGCCACCTCCTCCTGCAGCTCGTCCAGCTCGCTGCGCCCTGAGCCTGAACACGCGCAGACGCACAGAGGAGATGAAGAATAACTTGTGAATCAAATCAAATGCAAATGGCAGTGGATACGTGCAAATACATGCACAAATAACACACCTGTGTTGGTGCCGCTACCCCAGCTGGGTGAGGGCAGCTCCTGCAGGATGGCACCACTGCTCTTCGACTTGGGCACCGAGCGCCATGAAGGGCCGGACATCAGCACCCGTTTTTGTTGCCCCACTTCCCTATAGAGAGAAAGAAAAAGAAAACAGAGAGAGACAAAAATGTTGAGAATGCACACAACACAGACAGACGAATGTGTTCATTGATTGATTCGTTGTTATGATACACGACTGCTGGACCATTTGTTGTTGTTAATGTCACATTTGTATTTGATGCTGATAAAGTGAAACTGAACAGAGAGAGAGGAGCGACAAAGGAAGAAGATCAACAACAGAGACAGAAAAAGAGGAGACAGTAATTGTTATTTGTGAGTTTCCTACCTGTCGGGGCTGCTGCTGTTCCTCTCACTGCTCTCGTAGCCACTCTCCATCCTCTGAATCAGACGTGGCTGGTGCTCCACCCCTCTTAGAGGTGGAGGGGCAGGGGGACCCATCGTCTGCCCACTGCCCAGAGACCTGGGCTGCCCGACCAGCCCAAACCCCGCCTCCAACTCCCCGATCTCCCTCCCTTCCACCTCTTGCAGCCCTGGCTGTGTGGGTGGAGCGGGTCCCGCCAAGGGGAGGGAGTCCTGGGGCTCCGGAGGGAGAGAGGGACCAGGCAGGGTGTTGTAGCCCAGAGAGGAGCCTCGCTGGCGGGTGAAGATGCTGTCGATGTTCAGGGCCTCTCTCCTGGGCCTCCAGGTCGGCCTGTAGCGGCTTCCAGAAGAACTAAAGAGCAGGTGAGAAGTATGTTACACAGGATGTTACATGATTTCAGGGGTGGTGAGGATCCTGTCATATCACACTCAAATACAAGTTACTTCACTTTTAGAAATCACTTAAAAAGGTGCACATCACATGTATCTCTAAGAAAGTAGAATAACTCATTTAATAAGGTAATCAAAAAAGTAAAAATACATGACCTACAAAATGATATAATTACAGTTCAGTCAGGACACTCACATAGAGCTTGAACCATTTATTGCAACAATCATATGCATTTTAGTTTGGTGGTGTGGCTCTGCTCATGTGATGCTTAGGAAAAAAATGAGAGGACACAGACTGAGATATACAACATCTGATGAACATAAACACGTATGGGAAGAAACATTCAAGATTCACAGCTAAATTCACAATCTAAGTGCTAATCCAGGCAGAGGAAGCGGAAGCAGATTGAAAACAGGCAGTGGTGTAGTAGTAAAGATGTAGTGCTTCTATTCAGATACTGTAGAAAGAGTACCAGATAATATGGGTAGTGTTCGATGTTGTGGTTACATATTATTGGACAGTATGAGGAGCATGTGACCATAAAGGGACTACCTTAACTTACGAGAGGCTCCATTAATGAGCCCGCTTGTAATGAGTTACTCTCAACCCCTGAATTTTTGTTTTATTTGACCTTTATTTCATTTATAAATGTTAGCATGACAAATAATCCTGTGAAAATACCAGAGGTGGTAAGTAACTTTAGTAAGTAAAAGTAAATTCACTGAACTTTACTTGAGTATATGGATTTTTTGCTACTTTAATCTTGTAAATTTTTCCAATATTTCACAAAAAAGCAACTAACAACAACAACTAACAAACAAAGACTTGCGTAGCAGAACTTTGGTTTTTCTTCTTTCCTCCCTCATTAATCATTTCACGGACCCTCAGATTTATCTTGTGACCCTTTGGAGGGAGCCCGACCTCTAGGGTCCACTGGACTAAACGTAGTCTACATAAAGTATCTAATAATAGCCACAACAGTGATGATGCATCAGTACTAACAATCTAATAATGTACATGTTTACATGGTCTGAATGTGAATTCATAGGCAGGGTGTCTGAAGTCCATGTGTGTCAGTGGTGCAGTACCTGGACTTGCTCTCACTGCTGGTGCTTTCATCCTCCCAGTGGGGGCCCCCGACCCCTCCCTCACAGCCCCCTACTCCTGACGAAGAGGAGGAGGACAGGGGACGAGAGGAGGAGGAGGAGGAGGTGAGAGGCCGGCGAGAGGAGAGCAGGAAGACAGCCGTCTCCTTGTACTCCTGCAGGGGAGGAGAGGGAGGGCGGGGAGGACCCTCCACCGCTGACTCTGAAAATGGGAGAAGAGGAGGAGTAAGAGAGAGAAAGTAAATCCAATAACATTTTTTATTTATCCCACAGGGGCCAATTATGTAGGCAACAGTGCAAGTAAATATGAGAATAACCACTAACGAGGCACATAACCTGAAGAGTCTGCAGTGATGAAGCACAGGGACAAAGAGCTCACTTCATTTCCACTGAAATATGAAAACTGACCTTTGTTTGCTCTTACTTGTACCTACATCCTTTAGCACTTTATCTTACTCTCTGAAAACACTGTGCTCACTTGTGTATTTACAGTTTTGGCGCTTCCAAAGCGTCTTGACTGAAGGAGCAGCTGCACTTTGTGAGTATGGATAAGTTTGCTTCTGGACTTCCCAGCATTACCTCTGGCGTCAGCACCGTGCGGTGGTGTGCCGATGTCGTAATTACAGACCACCGTGGTCTGGGATTCACAGGAGAGGTGGCTGCCCGTGGACTGGTGGAGAGGTCGGCTACGAGAGGCGCGGTGACTCGAGCTGTCCGTTGAGGAGTCGGTACGAGTATCGCTGGATATGGACGGCTCCCGACCTGAGAGAAAACAAAAGAAAAAGAAATGACCTTTTAGTTAATCCTGCATCTCCATATGTGTATAGTCAAAGGCAGGAAAAGAAGTTCAGTCTCTGCAGCATACAGAAGCACAGGCTGGATTATAGGGTTGAAGGTCAGAGCTTTACAGCTATAACCTTGCATGGCCCCGGATGATAAACACAAAGTAATCTGATCTGATCTGTAGCAGAGTGTGTCATCTTTGCTGTACCGGAGTCTTCACTGTCGTAACCAGCCTTGCTGCTGCAGTGCTGGAGCTCCAGCTGCGGGTTGGAGCTGGTACAGGGGTTGGGGCTCTCCTGCAGTATCACCGGCGTCCCACGGGGGTCAGCGTAGAGCAGCAGCAGGGGCTGATAGTGGCCTTTGATACAGCGAGACACCACGTCCTTCCACTTAGGGCCGATCTGGAGGTGCAGCAAGGGAACACACACACACATACACACATACACACATACACACACACACACACACACACACACACACACACACACACACACGAAGACATATGTATTTTCCAGCTTTATGGCACATAACTCAAGCTCAAATATAAAGTAATACAACATAAGACCAGTTTTAGCACTGAGACCTGCACTAAGATTTAAACAAAGAAAGGGATTAAACCTTAAGCACAGAACTGACCGTGCAGCACTTAAACTGACATACAGCATAGTTCCAGTTGTGCCTGCTCTCGCTGCTCTCACAGGCACAAGTGGAGAGGCAGCAGATGCTGCACAGTGCACCCTCCCCGTGTTGCAGCATGCAGACTCCAAACTGTGTCTCACCTCTTTGACGTGGGCGTCGTCGAAGTACATCCACTTGCGTATCTTGGTCTGGAAGAAGAAGGTGGAGTAGTGCTTGCCGTAGTAGCACACCATGCCCACCAAGTAGAGCTCCGCCTGGCGAGCCCTCTCCTCTGTCACACGGTAGAACAACTACAGAGAGAGAGAGAGAGAGAGAGAGAGAGGGGGGAAGAGGAGGGAGGGGAGGAGGAGGAGGAGACAGGGAGGGAGGGAGAGATGCAGGGAAGAGAGGGAGAGGTGTGCAGTAGGGGGGGAGGAGATAGAGACAGAGGAGTTAATGTGAATACGAGCACATTTTTGCTCACCTAGTATATATGCTGTATGCAGTAATACCTCACATACTGCCTTTTCTCAAACTCTTCACTTTTCTCTCCTTGTAAACTGCACACACGGTACAGTGCTGCATATATGCTGCAGATTTTCATGCAGAAATTATGCACAGACCTCACATTGATGTCTCAGTAAGGTCAGCTGCTGCAGACAACACTGCTGCTTTCTGCACGTTTTACACAAAGACCACTGTGACATAATTACTGTATGTTAACATAACCTTCAAAATAATCCTATCTCGCTGTATGTTGATGTATTCCATCTTTGCCCGCTGCTGAAAAGTCCTATGTGGTTCAATAGAGGAAATGACAAACTAACAATTACTGTAAGTATTGATGACTTATTTTTAGTCAATTATAATTAGTCTACAAAAGGTCACGAAATAGTTTCCAAGTCTAAACCAAAACAACGGCCATAACAAAAAATACAAACAAAAAGATAATCAATTGACAATAATGAAAAAACAAATCCTTACATTTAAGAAGCTGGAACCAGTGAGTGTTCAGCATTTTTACTCTATAAATGACTTAGAGCAAAGATGAATCAATGAAAATTGTTATTTATTGTAACAGACTCATTGTTTCAGCACAATAATCTAATCTAAGGAGAGAAAGGACATAATGGAGAAGCAGGGAGGCAGAAAAGAGAGAAAGCAGATGCAGAAGACTGACAAAAAGAGACAATAGGACATACTGGATGCAGATGGATTCACTTTTTCTGATCTAACAACTACACAAAAGCAGCAAATTCAATAGATTAAGCCTCCGATTCTCATCTAACAACTAGCTTCCTCTCACAGCAGTGGGATGAAAAAACGAGAGTAACGGCAGCAGGCGGAAGATAGAAGACAGAGGAAAGAACTTGACTCACTATAACACATATTCATATTCACTGATCCATTATTCATACATATCACTTCAGAATGCGGCTGGAGATGTTACAGTGGCATTAAAATGCATCAACATTACTCAGTCATGACACGGAGAATCAGGGGTCAAACACGTGTCTGTGTGTGTGTGTGTGTGTGTGTGTGTGTGTGTGTGTCTGTTAGAGAGGTGTGAAAACTGCAGCAGGAGACGTTCTCTACAAGAGTAATGAAAGTCGGGTCAATAGTGTGTGTTATAATTTGTTGTTTTTCCGAGTGTGCTGGAAAAAAGATTGGTTGGGTCACATATTTGTATTCTGTATTTGTATTTATGTATTTGTACTGTATGTGTTTCTGCACATATATTTGTATTTTGAAACTGCATGCGGTCCTTGCATCCGTACGTGTGTATGAGTGTGTTTGAACACACTTCTGGGTATTTGTACCTCAGGAAGTAATGTTTCTTTAGTAACTGTTTCGTTGAGAACTTCGTAGAAAATCTGAGATAAAGTAAAGTAGGTAGGAAGTTCAGCTCTGGAACAAAGGATTCATATGGATTTAATGTATTTACAAATCTAGGAATAAATGTATTAACCCTTTTAACTCTCTGGACAAATAATTATACTAATAACTATCCTAGAACACATATAGTACCACTCTCATGTAAAGTGATGCAGAGTGATGGCTTTTCTGACCAGCCAAGGCAAGTTGTTATGGTACCTTCAAATGGGAGTGTTTACGAGAAGTGTTTTCACATATTGAAAATAACTAAGCAAAGGTAAGCCATAAGCCTAAAAATGAAAGGACTGAAAAATGCAAAGGCAACAGTAGTACAGTAGTATTTCTTAACACTAGAGAGGGTCAGCTGGTAAATCAGTCCGTGTCATTTGAATAAAATGTCATTTTAACACCAAACAGCTAACGTGAACATGATTCCCGACTGAATGAACAAAGTGAAACTTAATGGCAGTTCAGTCAGATTATTAAGATAGCTTTTTTTTTAACCATATTCACTGTTTTTCTCATGAACTACAACCCTTACTTTGTTGTATGTTTTGTCTGCTGCCGAACATCATCTCTTGTCGGGAGCGGGTGGTGATGATTGTTGCTTTGCAAGAGCTGCGGCCATTCTTGCGTTTACAAGATAAGAGGTTATAAAGACCTCCTCTGAGCAGCGCTACATCTTCAGAGCAGATTGAAGGCTACAGTGAGTCGCTATCAGAAAGTAATGAGATGGTCCAGGGCTAGCTGGTTAGCGTGCTAACTTCAGTAGAAGTGAAGACGTGATAGAGACAAGAGTTAACAATGCAGTTACAATTCACCACTGGAGACAGCTCTTGGTGAGTAAAGGAATGAAGTTTGATGCTGAACTCACAAAGTTTCTTCTAGACTGCAAGTTAACAACTGTTAATGCTAACGCTGGCTATGTGGCCTTAGCAAAACTTACAAATAGCTCCTTTAAATGAAAACAAGACTTAGCGACTAGTCATGCTAACAGCAAAGTGGTGCTTTGAGCTAAAAGCTAACATCAACATGTTCACTAAAACAATGCTAACACGCTGATGTTTTGCAGGTAATGTTTGTTAACACACTGTTACCATGTAAGATCAGCATGATAGCATGCTAACATTTGATAATTAGAACTAAACACAAATTAGTTTTGCACGTATTTGGTCATAGACCATTTGTATTTGAGAAACACGGTGAAGCAGTGGCCTGTTGGTGCTAGAAGAAAAGTCAGGGATCACCAAAGTCATTGGGATTCATCATCCGGAAATCATGAATGTTTGTGGCAAATTTTAGGACAGTAATTGTGGACCACAGAACTAGACACTGCACTCCCCAAAGCCCTGCCACCAGAGAAGCTAAAATCTGGTACACAAGTATTTTTACAGTTTCACAGTCACATTTTCTGTTGTCAAAGCCTCAAATTTAAAAGGAGCCTTGTGAGCCACTTCAACAAACATTTGTGATTTCAAATTTCTGACTACTGACATTCATCTTACAGTTACAAGAACCTCCGGCTCATTGTTACACACTGCACAAAGGTCTGTTCACTGACAAATATAGAGCATTGTGTCTGTGTGTTTGCGTCAGCGTTTGTGCATACTTGCTTGCCTGCTCACATAGGCATGCATAACATATGATAATGTGATAACGAGTGTATTATGTGTGTGTAATGTGTGTGAGATCCCCTTACATCTCCCAGACGAAGGCAGGTCCCCAGGCTGTGTATGACGTCTTCTGCCAGGTCAGAGTGGTCTGAATCCCACACCAGCCCGATGGACACAATCTCTGGCGAGTTCATCAGCACCCGGCGGATACGCAACACCTCCCCACAGTTACTCTGTGAGGGAGGGTGGCAGAGAGGGTAAAAAAAAAAAGAAAAAAAAAAGGGAGAGCGTGTGATCAAACATGTTTATTCATCCTGTGTTAGGAGGCACAGAGTGTGACAGCGGTGCAAACCATTCCTTTATTTGGCAGTGATGAACACATGCATGCATGCAGATACAAACAGGGATAAAGTGAACAGTAAGAGAATAAAAGAATGGGGGCCAGAGATAAAAGGCAGGAGAAAAGAGATGATGAAAAGACTGTAAGAGAGAACGACAGAGGAAGAAGCACTGTGCTGAGTTGTATTTGTCCCTTGGGCCTTCTGTTGAGTTCAGAACCGTGTGTTCTGAATCCTTCCTTTGAGTCATGACCCACCGCAGAGCTGGTGCACACACACTCAAAAGCCAGCACACATGCACACACACGAGCATGCACACAGTGCTGGCGGAGCGGGCTCGGAAACAGCCTGAGAACACCCTGGCAACCAGACACTTTGCCAAACACACAACACACACACACACACACACACACACACACACACACACACACACACACACACACACACACACACACACACACAACTCTCCCTTTGTGGGCGGCGGGCTGTCTTGCGCTGGCACCAGAGATGGCAGGAAGGTATTTTGCCAGGGTCTGCTTCTCAATTCTCAGAAAGGGACACAAACACAAGCCAGGGAGCAGCAGCCAAACAGCACAGCACTGAGGCACAGGCTATCTGTTAGTTTAGGACACGTTGACGGGACACATAGTCTCAGTTTGCTCTCTGTGCTGTCTCACTGCTGCGAACGGCCGCTGACAACATCATTCATCAAATGATCGTACAAACAGATTCGCTCTGCTTCATAATACAACATTGATCGGTGCAGTCTCATCTCTGAATATTTTATATGCAAAGATTTCTTTTCTTTTTTTTTCCGGCTGTGGCTATGCAGACCTTTCTGAGAGAGCGTGAGTTATGTAATAGTGCTGCTGGTCAAAGGATACTGTAGGTTTGCAGAATGCTGATAGCGGCATTCTCCAGAGCAAAATGAAACAACTTTAGGAAAATGTTTGCGCTTATGCTTCTTCAACGACTCATACAGCACCGAAATAAAGAGACAATCCCACTTTTATCAGTGTAATGACAGCTGAGGAGGCAAATTGCTGATGTAGGACAGATGAACAGTAAAACCAGCATACATCTAAACAGAGGTGGAAAGTGACTGAGTGCATTTATCGTAAAATCATCCTTAAAGGATGGTTGCAATTTATTGCTACTTAGGTCTTAGTTTTGTAGCTTTGGCCACCATCTCTTCCAGTCATGATAACACTGTACCAACCCAAGTTATTGGGATCTGGGGACGTGGCAGCATCACTAAAACAAAGTCTGATTTGTCAAGAGATATAAGCGACAGGTTGCAAACAAGCCAACAGTTAAGCCAGATTATAGAACAAAAGCAGTTTGAGTGATAATTTTATAGTTCCCCTTTGATTTTTGTTCCAAATAAGTTTGGCTAACCTGTTCATTTGTTTAAAACCTGCCCGATCAGCCTGGCTGCTGGTTTGTACCATTTTTAGCAATTACCAATTAACTTAGCGTGTACAAAGTTATTATGCCGATAGGAATCAAGGCCAAATCTACAAAAACAAAACCCAAAGGCTTGTTTCACAAAACCGACAAGCGCTGTTATCATGCAGAATGCAAATGATGGCAGTGTCTCATTTCCAAATAATTGTTGCTTGCAAATTGCTGATACAGGGCTCTACAGGGCTCTCTCATGCTCATGCCTGGGAAATGTGTCAAAATGAGCTGGAGGGCATTTTCTCACAGTTTGCATGTCTCAGATTTAGTGAAACAGGCCCCAGGTTATAAAACAAGTTAAATTAATCTTTAAGTACAATTTTGAGATACTTGTGCTTGCTATTTTATACTTCTATTCTTCTACTTCCATATATTTGAGAGGGAAATATCCTACTTTTTACACTTCTACATTTATTTGAAGGTTATAGTAAGTAGTTACTTTGCAGATTGAGATTTTACATACAGAACAAATGGTCAGTTTATGAACTACGATGCACTGCTGCAGATTAAACTACTGAGCAGTGAATAAAATCATCTTAAAACGGCTACAGACTGCTCTAACATGAATGTAGCATAATCCAATATGTTTGATACTTTAAGTTCATTTTGCTGCTTATACTTCGAGCACCTGAACCACATGGCATTTAATGTCAATCCCAGCTATCATCAGATTCTGCTGCTAAATCCTGAGTAGGACATGGATATATGTTACATCACTATTTCCAACAAAGCCCTGCCCACTTCTAACACAGATGGAAACAGAAATCTCTCATGTGAAATAAACAAAACTGATCTAATTTTGGCAGAAAAATGTGTGTGTTCATGTAGGATCTTACCACTAACAGTTAACTGGGAAAATAGATGTTCATGGCCATCAAGTACGTTTACATTTTAATATTACTTCTTTCACAGTAATAAATGTGGTAATTATCTGTATATTCAGCTAATTAAATTCATTTTAGTGTAACTCACCAAATTTCAAGTACCCAAAAATTGTGCACACACGTTCTTCACACTTTCCTCTGTCAAGTCTTTGGCACCAAGCAAACATCTTCACACTCTCCTATCTTCATTCTGGCACCTACTGTATCTTCCAGCAGCCTCACTCCCATCCAAATACCCTTACTTTGTTTGAGCAAAGCCCAAGGCGGTAATAACAAAAGATCAGCGCTGCAAGTGATGGAAGATAAACACAGGCAGGTTATGTGACTCCCGCAGGACTGCGCACACAACGTCAGCGTTTGGACTATGAATAAGCTAATGTTGTGTTCATTAGTGTGGTTGCAGTAGTGGTTGTGGTGGTGGTGTGTGAAGAGAGGGGCAGCTGCTTGACTATACCCAGAGAGGAGGCTCTTTGTGCAGACACCTTGGCAGAGAGGGGTGGGTGAGAGGGGCCAAGCTGGATCTGTTCGGCGGCAGCACTTTCCCATGTGGCAACAACACACAAACCTCCAGAACAAAGGAGTCATACGTTCCTCTATCCACCCCGTTCACTACCTACACCTCTCTCTCGCTCTCTTTTACCACCTTATTTCTTTCTCTTACTGTAATCTCTTCTCACCTGTGTACAGTATATTTGAGGCTCATCACCACAAAATACCCACATTTCTTTTTAGGAGGATAATGTTGGTTTGAAACAATCTGTCCTGCTCTACTTAGCGCTCTTTAGTTTCCTGCTGCAAGAAGATGATGATCACCATGGTTTACTGTACAGGAGGTCGATGAGGACAACTCAGAAAATGTTTCCGGTTACAGAAAGTGAAGAGAAAAGTGTGAAGGGAAATGCAAATGAGCTGATGATTATGTAACACAGACCCACCAAGAGAGAAGGGAAAAAAACAAACAAGACCTGATGAAACTACCAAAGTGGTTATGCTGCAAATTATATTTTTTAAATCTAATTTTCAGTATCCAGCTTTCTGCATTATTGATGTTTTTCATACATTCATCTTATACTATTAGAGGGAAAAAAAAAAAATTTGCATTCTTTTCCTTTTCTGATAAACAAACCTCATATTGTATTACACTAAAAGTGAAAAAAACAAACATGTAACAGTGTCGAGTTGCTGAATGTGCTGTGTGTGTTGTGTGAGTGTTATGTGTGTACGCTGTGTATACTCTCACAGGGCAGTTGCGCAGGTCTCCCATGTTGCTGGCGTTGCGGAGCAGTTCCCCAAACATGTCCGGTGTGGGTTTGTCTCTGCACTCCAGCATCCTCACTGCTTGGTTACTGCAGCATTAGACACACACACACACACACACACACACACACACCAATAACAATAACAATTAAACCACACAGTCTTTGAATAACTTCACGGTCTGCGTTTAGATACCGATGCTTCTGATGAACAACACACCGAATAATTCAAGAATTTCTTCAGCAGACCACAAATAAAACAATTGTCTGGTCCTGTATATTGCTTAAGCAACCATCAAACACATCGACACCAACTCTGAGTCAGTCCAACAGGCATTTTCTCATCTGCTTTAATAAAGAAAGGAAAATGAAGGAAAAGAAAAGAAGGAAAAGTAAGGACAAATCTAGATTATACAGACTGTGAACAACAGTAATTCTGAGCAAATTTCTAAATCCTTTCTGGTATTGATCTTTGACCTTGATCTGAAATAACAGTATAGCGTAGTATAACAGTACAGTATAAGATTATTATTGTTACAGTTACTAAAGGAGAAGTTCATCAACAACTAGAATCATTTGATGAAAAAAGCTTCGCTACTGAAGCAAAACTATTTTTGAGACAATTTCCTTCGGCAAGGCTTAAAGAAGCTGCATTTATCCCTTTTAAGTACAATTGTCCTCTGAAGGACAAATTCAAATATACATCATTATTTTCTGTGAATACCAAATGAACTTGTGAGAGCTTGTCTGCAGTTCGGTACCATGTATGGGATTATGTGTGCAATGAATCAGCATTGTTTTTCCCAGTGAAGTATTCCTTTAAGAATAACGATTTTAAAAACCATCCAAATCTCTCCCCCTCCCTGCTCTCCTCCCCTGTCCTCTCCTCCCCTCCTCCCCTCCTCTCCTCTCCTCTCTTCCTTTCCATTTGCCTGAAATGAACTCAACCTCTTCACTCGCCTCTCTCACTCGATTTCAACCCCTCGCTCACCCTCTCCTCTTCAGATGCGCTGGCAGGTGCAAAGCTAAGAAAGCAGAGAGAGCAACAACAACAAGCACAGCCAGGAACACATGTGTTCCTTTGTTTACTTACGTCTGAATTCTGCTTGAACCAGACATTTGTTTTGTCTTTTTGTTGCCCTCTGATTATCTCACTCATGTTGACTTTCGCATATTTGACTATGGTGACTGTAAACAACAGGCTCCACTAAAGGTAACTAGAATTACCGCCTTGTGTTTGTCACTGTGACCTTGACCTTTGGCCACCCAAATCTAATCTACGTTTGTACCAAATTTGAGGATATTTCCCTTGAGGAGTTCCTGAGATATTGTGTTGACGAAGCTTCGATTTGAAAATCAGTTCTGAATTCGATTTAGAGCCTTTTTCTGATTGGTTGGTTTTGTTTAGTATTTTGCTTAGTCAATTTGTAGCCGCGTTCTGATTGGTCAGTTTGGAGCCTTATTCCGATTGGTCGATCTGTAGCTTTACACTGAGATATTGCGTTCACAAGGCCAAAAGTGTTTTGTGAGGTCACCATAACCATGACCTTTGACCTTCGACCACCAAAATCTAATCAGTCCATCCTTGAGTCCAAGTGAATGTTTGCAGAAATTCCCTCACGGCGTTACTGAGATATCGCATTCATGAGAATGGGACAGACGGACGGACAACCCAAAAACATAATGCCTCCGGCCCTGGCAGTCGCCGGCACGGAGGCATAAAAATAGTTTGGCAGTGCTAACAGGCACAAACACGGAGCGGTGGCACCGCTGTGGCCCACAACTACCTTGACACAGTATGTTTATTTGTACTTTTGCCCCCCATTCATCCCTCTATTTCCTCCGCCGTGTTCCATTTCCAAAAGGGAGATGGAGTGATATATCCTCTTACTTCCCTCTTGTTCACAGTCTTCCCGACCCACTGTTCCACTTATAGATTTATGTCGCCCCCTGGGTCTACTGAATCAAACAGCTGATTGATTACTTTCCCTGTTCCTTAATTCATTGACTCAGAGCATGTGCGATTTTTATGTAACAGCTCTGAGGATGTGCACATGCTTCCTCTGTGCGTGGATTTACCTGTGTGTGTGTGTGTGTGTGTGTGTGTGTGTGTGTCTGTATGTGTGTGTGTAGGCTACCTGAACATGGGAGAGACAATATGCACAAGCTCACCTGCTCTTGCATATGCATGAACATACACATGTGTGTGCATACTGTGTGTGTGTGTATGTGTATACATGTGCATGTGTGTGTGTGCGTGTAATTGTGCTCACAGTTCAGTGTTCAGCGGGGACCCGTGCAGGAGAGAAGAGAACACGCTGTACCTTCCTTTACTGCCACCCAGCCTCAGCTTGCTGCCAGATTTACTGCAGTGTGTGTGTGTGTGTGTGTGTGTGTGTGTGTGTGTGTGTGTGTGTGTGCGTGTGTGCGCGCGTGCACCGAGTGTGTGTGTGTGTGTGTGTGTGTAGGTGTGTGTCTGGTCTTACCAGAGGGATGTAGTGGAGATGTAATGAACCATCTGAATGAAGGGCAGGGGGTCTGATGTGGCTCCACAGCTGTTACACACACACTGCAAACACAAACACAGCCTCAGATTCATAACAGGACATTGTGTTTTCAAAAATGTTTGTGTGGAATATTATTTTAATTAAAGCTGCCAAAGTGAAACACGTAACAGCTCTTTAAAGCAACAAAAAAGGACTGAAGAGTCTCCTACCTGTTCGAACAGAGTCATGGCAAACTTCTGGTGTGGTATACAGTGTTTAGCTGTGCAGATGTCCTCTCTGCTCTCTGCGCTGATGTGGAAGTGGATACGCATCAGGAGATTCTCCTGGGAAACACATGGACATCAATTAGTGTGTTTGTATTGTATTCATGTGTGCAACTATGAGCTCGAGTAGGTGTGCTAAGTTGGCATAGGTGTTTGTTTATATTGTATACATGTGTCAAGCGTGTGCGTGTGTTTGACGTGTGTGTTTGGCATGTGCGTTTGGTCGTTCCTCTCTGTTGGTGCTCCTGTTAATCTGACCGTGGGAGCAGCATCTATATTTCATAAGAAGCCGACGGATTCCCTGACTGAACACATTTACTACCAATCGATCAGACAGCGCCTCTCGGGCACACACATAAACACACACATACACACACACACACACACACACACACACACACACATACACTGTGGAGGAAAGAAAGAGGCTGAGGTGGAAGGGAGAAAGCAACAGGAAGGCACAAGGAAGTGTTGTGAGGAAAATGTGAAGACATTTCAAAAGTAAAACCTGTGACTAATGACATTTTCTCTTCTTAATTTTCTCCTTCAATAAATAAAGTTTATTCCAAAATGAGACACCCACCATTTGAAAAATACAAAACCCTCACTGTTGAGTACAACTACTGTGAAGAACTTTGCATCTGAGGAAGTAGACTGCAAATATTATATGATAAAAAAAGACTATATAAACAGCACAGTAATATCATTCATGTGCAAGAGTTAACACTGGTGCTGCTTTCCACTGCTGGAGACAGCTCTTGGTGAGTAAAGGAATAAGGTTTGATGCTGAATTCACAATGTTTCTTCTAGACTTGTAAGTAAACAGCTGTTAATGCTAACGCTGGCTATGTAGCAATAGCAAAACTTACAAGTAGAGCCATTTGGCCAATTTAAATTTTTTTTTTTTTTTGCCAGTTTGAGAAGATTATATGCAATTACATGATACATTATCATTTTTTCATGAGGTCAGAATGGCAAAGTAATAATACTAACATTAGTGATGCCTATCATATACAACCACGCAAACACTGGTGATTCTGCACATCAAATTAGTCATTATAATTAGGCATTTGTCACAGTTTTCAACTTCATAATCTTACATAAATTATCTTAAAAGACAAATTAGCTGGGTGACTTATGTTTGTCACATTGGTCATTACAGTCACATGTGGTTAAATAAGGCCTACACTTTCCATCCATTTGAAGACACAATGGATACCTTACAATGTCAAAACAAAAGTTGAATATCATACACTTCACAAAAAAACATATTTCTTTGAGGCTGCTATATCCCCTGAGGATTTCTGACTGCAGTAAAGACCTGGGAGTTCCTCAAATAAGCCTTTAGGCAATCCCCCACTTCTCCCGTGTGTGTGTGTGTGTGTGTGTGTGTGTGTGTGTGTGTGTGTGTGTTTGTGTGTGTATGTGTGTGGCCATGTGGTGTCGCAGACTCACAAAGCACTCAGCAGCGTCGTCCATGATGCCCAGCTGAAAGCGTTGTTCGTCTTGGAAAGTCTTGGCCAGAGCACTCCGCAGTGCATCTGATGGCAGCACGCGCTCACTGCTGAACTGGAACTGAGCAAAGATACTCTGCAAACACACACACACACACACACACACACACACACACACACATATAGAAATCCATTAATTCTTTATTTCGCTGCTACAAATATGCACCGTGACATAAATGTTTTTCCTGAAAGACCCCCGCATTGTTAGAGTGTGTCCATCTACACATTATTATTATTGTGTTTGTGTGTTTGTTTTTTTTTCATTTCTCTCAGACTGAAACAAAACCCTCTATAAACAGATTTGTCCTGTAAATCGGCAACATGTTCTGTCAACTGACCCATAAAGCAGAACCGGTAGGAACTTGTTGTCAACTTGTCAGGACCAAAGTGCTGCACAACAAAACCCAGACTGGACTAAAACAAACGCCTCACAGCACAGCTGGCCTCAATATCAGCCCATATCAATAATAAATGTGATTTGTAGTGCACTTTTCTTCGACAAAAACAGCTCTCGGAGTGCTTTGTAGCAGTAAAATAGAAACCAATTCAAACTGTTGCGCGGGGCTGAGACAGAAAGCTAGGCCACTTAAGTGTGTTTTGAGGCCAGTGCTCCGAGACCAAAGAGAGATCAGTGAGGGAAGAGTTGTTTACACCGTTTACATCCAGACAACTGCCAGACCAGTATTTTGACCCCATATACAACCAGTGAGTGTTTTCTGTTTTGTCCCTAATGCTGCGGTATCATTTCAAAGTGTAATGGTATTATCATCACCACCCCTGCCATGGAGGTTATGGATCCACATTTGTCTTTTGATAGTTAACAGAACATTTTAAACACTATTTGACTGATTTCTGTTCAGTTTTGTGTTAAAAAAAAAAAAAAAAATTTTTTTAAATGGTTTGGCCAAGAAAAAACATCCCTACATGTAGTGTTTCAGATATATCAGCAATGTGGTATTAGTCAAGCATCTTGTATCTCCTAAACCACTGGTTCCCTATTCTTTTGGCTTGTGACCCCATAAAATACACCAATGTCTGCTTGCAACTCATTACAAGTGTCAGGATTCAATGAGATGAGAGATCCATTAGATGGGTCCACAGCCCCATTTTGGGAATTACTGTCCTAAACTCCTAAAATCTCTATCTTAATACAGGCCTCACACGTTTGACATTTGGAAACTAGTTTAAATTACTTTATAGATATCCATGTTGATATTTCCTCTATGGTTGATATTTGACCTAAATGCCTTAACTGTTAAATACATTGTGTAATTAAAACCACAATTAGGTGACAAATGCACATGTCTACTCCAGGCAATATGCTGGATACAAATGGTCATAACTTACTTGAAATCACACACAATTCAACCTTGTACAAAGCCCTAATATTCCTGCACCGGGCTTTCACTATATGCACTTTCATCTGGATCAAGGTGCAGAATAAAAACTTTTAATTCAGTCATTAAAATGACACATTTATATAAAGATAGCTTTCTAGTCATTATTACTGTCAAAAAATGTTGCAGGAATAGTTGTACTGACAATAGTTTTAGAAGCAGTAGTACCAGACAACATAGTCAATTACTCTGTGGCTCACATGGACTGAAAATGAACAAATCCAGATTAATCAGTACCTTAAATGTGGTGATTTAAGTCTGACATGAGACCTGAAACTAACATCGAGTTCAAGCAGAGGCAGTGAGAGAAACTTCTGACTGAGTCTGAACCGAAGAGAGTTGAAGATGTCTAAAGTGGGAGAGATAAAAGCATGGCTGCCTTTCTCCGGATTGCCAACGGATAAAAATGACCTAATTTTTTGTTGGTAAGAATTCTCAGCAGGAAAAAAGCAAAACCGAGCAACTATTTTTGACCAACACTTAAACAGCCCAAAACAGAAATAAACACAAGGCAGTCTGATGTGTCGGAGCAGCGCGTCGGTGCTGTGGACTCTGAGTGCTCCTGGTTTTCTGTCACAGCGGTAATTCAATCACTGATTAGATGGCTGGACTGAAAAGCAGCAGGTGCTCTGTGTCCTCAGGGCTCATAAGCACTATATTAAATGACAGAAAGATATTCGAACACAGTCTCTCCAGAAGCACGTGTCATGGGTTTGTATCCACACTGGATCCATTTTAGCTGTTCAAGCACACAGCCTCAGCAGACATGAACATCTTTGATATGAGCAAGCATTTCTATTTTGAGTATTTTCAAAATATTGATTATTGGATATAAAATCTGAAGTTACTAAATACATGAAAGGAATCGTGTGTGTGTGATAAACTTCTTTAATTTCATAGAGTTGCACAGTTTACAGTTCTTAAGTGTTATGGCAAAGCTTTAATATTCTACAGTCAGTTTTGTGTAGAGTTTGTAACAGGAATCTAACTAAATGTTAAAGTGATTTTTGTAACATTTGGCAGGAAACAGGATATCTCTGGGTTTGGGAATGTTGTTTATTGTCCAAACAACTAACTGATCAATCAAGAAAATAATGGCAGATTATTAGCTGATGAAAATAATCTGTAGTTGCAGCTTTATAGCAGCTTTATTGATCCCTGAAGGGAAATACACAAATAATAAATGTTGCAATATGTATAGCATTATACACTGATGTCCACAATCTGAATCCAAACTGAACATGGAAAGAAACATGATAGCTCAAGCGGTCACTCAGTCGACTCTGGTTAACAGAGAAAAAAAAACTAAAAACACTTCACACAATTTTTTCAAAATACAAGATCCTGATGCAGGTCAGATGCTGCATTGAGGTGGTGAGTGAGTCAGGCAGCAGCACTGATGGAAAATCACAGCTCAGTCACTGCTGGTGACTGGTGGGCTTCAGTAGTTACTCTAAGACAGTGGCACAGAGCCAAGAAAGGTCAGAGGTCACTGTAAAATACCAAACCCTGTCACTTAAACATTACATTTATATACGACTCATTTGAATGAGGGAATGCATTTTGTAAGAGATGAATGCCTTTGTTGCCAATGCTAAATATTGTTATTGAACATATGTGCAACACAGTCACTGTCCTGTCATGCATGACTAACCAGTTACTGTTACTTTTACTGTTACTGTTATGTTAGAGCTTACAATGATAAACTGTATAACAAAGAAAGTCAGCAAAGTCACTTGTGAGAAGTTTGATTGTCAAAATAGTTGCTGCTTTTTGGAGAGAGGAAAGTGTCTGAGTCCTATACTTTATACCACCAACCACCCACTCAAACCTCCACCCTGTGGCTCCTGTCCAATATAAGGATCTCACACTTTCTGTGTATGAAAAAAAACATAGCCCAGTTTCCTCCAACACCTATTTGGCAAAGCAAATATATAATATCCATAGATATTTTTTTGTAGGAGAAAAGTTTCTGTTGTGGCAGCTTAGACTTCACCTCTCCAACGAAACCTAAACATTAGCAAAAACTTTTCTTTCCTTCACCACTACTCCACGTTGGACTTTCAAAACACACGACATAAAGTTCACACTAGTTAATGAGAGCTCAAATCTCGAAGTATTCAAGTCACAGAATCCTTCACAAGTCAAACCTAAATCTGTGTGTGATTCAGACGAGTAAACAATTCCTGGAGTTGTTTCCTGGACATAGTCACTTAGTTGTATTTCCTCTCTTTATGCATGTCTAGTTATTCCAACGTGTCAGAGGTCATATTTTACGTTTTGGAAGCAGTTAAAGATGGTTGAGAATATACGGAGTGAAAGTGTTAGAAAACAATAGGCTGGAGTCTGTGAGTGTGTGCAGGCTGAGGGTTGGCAGTGGGAAAGGTAATGCAGTCGTGCTGATGGGGAGCAGAGAGAGAGAGAGAGAGAGAGAGAGAGAGAGAGAGAGAGGAAGGGAAACAGAGAAAGAGAGGGGGAAAAAAGTAATGTGTGCGTGTGTGTGTGTGTGTGTGTGTGTGTGTGTGAG